CAAATACCGGCTAGTCGAATACGTGATAACTACATGACATGCATAATGGAATATACAATGTAATATTGATACTTACCGACTGTTGAAATTCAAGTCAATAATTATACGGATATGAAAAAAAGGTGAAAAGATAATTAATGTCAAATTTAACAACACAATACACTACGATTAAAACAAATGTTGAAATACAAGTCCGACTGTCACACTTGGCATTATAAACGTACGGAACAAAACCATTTAAATCTCCGCTGATCGAACACGTGACAAGTACATGACAAACATTCATAATGTAATATACCAAGAAATTTTGATACTTACGTTCTGTTGAAATTCAAGTCGATAATTATACGGATATGAAAAAAATGTGAAAAGATAAGTAATGTAAAATTTAACAACACAATACACTACGATTAAAACACATGTTGAAATACAAGTCCGACACTTGGCATTATAAACGTACGGAACAAAACCAATTAAATCTCCGCTGATCGAACACGTGACATCTACATGACAAACATGCATTATGGAATATACAATGAAATATTGATACTTACGTTCTGTTGAAATTCAAGTCGATAATTATACGGATATGAAAACAATGTGAAAAGATAAGTAATGACAAATTTAGCAACACAATACACTACGATAAAAACACATGTTGAAATACAAGTCCGACACTTCGTATTATAAACGTACGGGACAAGACCATTCAAATACCGGCTAGTCGAATACGTGATAACTACATGACATGCATGATGGAATATACAATGTAATATTGATACTTACTGACTGTTGAAATTCAAGTCAATAATTATACGGATATGAAAAAAAAAGTGAAAAGTTAAGTAATGTCAAATTTAGCAACACAATACACTACGGGTAAAACACATGTTGAAATACAAGTCCGACACTTGGTTTTATGAATGTACGGGAGAATATCATTCGAATACCGGCTAGTCGAACACGTGAAAACTATATGACAAGCATTCCTAATGGAATATACAATGTAATATTGATACTTACAGTCTGTTGAAATTCAAGTCAATAATTATACGGATATGAAAAAAATGTGAAAAGATAAGTAATGTCAAATTTAACAACACAATACACTACGATAAAAATACATGTTTAAATACAAGTCCGACACTTCGTATTATAAACGTACGGAACAAAACCATTTATATCTCCGCTAATCGAGCACGTGAATACTATGTGACAAACATTCATAATGGAATATACAATGTAATATAGATACTTACGGCCTGTTGATATTCAAGTCGATAATTAAACGGATATGAAAAAAAATGTGAAAAGGTAAGTAATGTCAAATTTAGCAACACAATACACTACGATAAAAACACATGTTGAAATACAAGTCCGACACTTGGCATTATAAACGTACGGAACAAAACCATTTAAATCTCCGCCTGATCGAACACGTGACGTGACAACACGTGACAACTATATGACAAGCATTCCTAATGGAATATACAATGGAATATTGATACGTACCGTCTGTTGAAATTCAAGTAGATAATTTTACGGATATGAAAAAGAAGTGAAAAGTTTAGTAATGTCAAATTTAGCAACACAATACACTACGATTAAAACGCATGTTGAAATACAAGACCGACACTTGGCATAATAAACGTACGGAACAAAACCATTTAAATCTCCGCCTGATCGAACACGTGACGTGACAACACGTGACAACTATATGACAAGCATTCCTAATGGAATATACAATGGAATATTGATACGTACCGTCTGTTGAAATTCAAGTAGATAATTTTACGGATATGAAAAAGAAGTGAAAAGTTAAGTAATGTCAAATTTAGCAACACAATACACTACGATTAAAACGCATGTTGAAATACAAGACCGACACTTGGCATAATAAACGTACGGGACAAAACCATTTAAATCTCCGCTGATCGAACACGTGACAACTACATGACATGCATAATGTAATATACAATGTAATATTGATACTTACCGACTGTTGAAATTCAAGTCAATAATTATACGGATATGAAAAAAAAAAGTGAAAAGTTATGTAATGTCAAATT